TCGCCGGTGTCAACCTTGTTTGCCGTCGACGGCGGCGCGTGAGGAGGTGGAGCAGTCAAAGATTCAGCCGAGTTGAAATCGAGCTCTTCGCGGTTCAAAAATTTGAACCGATCTTTGTAAGTATCTCGAAATCGCTCAAAATAATTTTTAGAAATTTTTTCATAATTTTTAGACCCCCGGTGAAGGCCTCACGCGCCACACGCGCCGCCGCAAGGAGAGTGAGTGGCTGAAAACTGGTTTCGACCGGTTCGAACCGGTTTGACCGTTCTGACCCGGTCTGACCCGACCCGACCGTTGACCGTTGACCGTGACCTCCTTTGACCAAAACATAAAATGGCTTTGACCGACCATTAAACGACCGTTAATCTTTTCCGAGTATACCTATTCTGATAGTTTTCGACGTCCCGAATCCGTTTCTGAAGTCTGTTTCGTCAAATTCGAACCCAAAGGCCTCCAAATCGACGGTCAAAGTGGTTGACTTTGACCAAGAATTTAAATTTTCGAAAAGTCATACTTTATGTTTTTCGACGTCCTGATTCCGATTCCGCAACCCGTTTGACCAAATTCAGACTCGAAATCCTCTAAATTGATAGTTAAACCCTGAAAATACTTATATACTTAAGAATTTTAGCTTTGAACAATTAAGTAAGATTTGGGGCTGATAAATTATTATTATTTGAAGGTATAAGAGACTTTCCAGATCGTTTGACAGCTCGACCCAACTCTTCTAGATCAGTTAAACCACGTTCAAAAACTATAGCAGAGCGTGGTGAAACCAGCAATCAGTAAATCTACTATTTGAACCTATTATCAAGGTGTGTTCCCTAATTATTATTGAACTGTTTTATTGGTTTTAGTATGAGGTACACTGAGTTCTTTGGTTACTGTTTTATTGATGCACCAATTTAATGTGATGATTTATGGAATTTGTGTCACGGTGCAATTGAACTTTTGGATTGAATTACAATAGTATAGCTCTGATCAAGCTAATAAATAGAATGGGCCTAATGTGACTCTTGGGGCCCCAAGATACATTAGGTTGGCTTCCCTTGCTGTGTGCTTAGGGTAAGCTATATGGACTTGGACTTACGGGCCTAAGGATACAAGATCTAAAGCTTATCCTTAGGTTGACTTTCTTTTTGTTGTGTGCTTAGAGCAAGCTATATGGAAAATAGTTTTGGAAATTACTGATGGTGTACAAGAAAAGAGTTTAAACTATGATTTTCAAAAGCTAAACTCTTTTATGAATTTATGAGATTTACTGGACTATGATTTGTTTATTGTACCTATTGTGATTTTATGGTAATGTGGGACACACTGAGCCTAGCTCACTTTTCGAAAATGTTTTTCCCCCTTTCAGATACTGTTGGTTAGATACCCCGGATTGAGCACTTGGAGGATCAACATATCTCTTGAAGTATATCTGATTGTAATGTTTTTATCTTTCAGGTTGACTTTATTTTGGTGACATAGACCTTATTTTAAAGTATTGGATTTTATAGTGATTACACTTTTGCTATTAATATCCGGTTTATCGTGATTATGATTTTTAAGACATGTTTTAAATTAATTTATTACTTATTGGTATTATATTTACAAGTTGGGTTTTGATAGTATAATTTATTTCATGATATTTATAATGTGATTTTATATTGATTGAATAACGGTTTCAGAAAATGTCTTTAAGAATCATGTATGTGATCCACTAGACTTAGTCGAAACGCATAGGCCGGGTCTAGGAGTTAAATTTATCTTGTCAAATTTTACTCTCAATCCCTGTATCCTTCATCTATTTGATATTTGATCTCTTTATTTTTAAAACCTGTATTTTTTTTTATGATTTTCAATTTAATAATTAAGGTCCAATTAAATTATACGATACTTTAAATTAAACATATTTAATCACATGGTCAATACTATATATATGGAATTTTAAATTGAAATCTAAATTCAAAGTTAGATATAATTTTAAAAAGAAATAAAGTTTAGATACTAAAACAGAATACAAGTGATAATTTAAGTACTAAATATGTAATTTATCCTATTTAATTAGAGTGATCTGATTGGTCATCGATCATCATCATACATTTTCTTAATTCCTTTATTTATTTATTTATCATTAACTCAATAGGGAATAACATATTTCATAAAATATTATACTCTATTATTATATTTACATGGATACGACTGATATTAAAAGATAATACAAATTTTAATTTTTTTATGCATGTTGGATATTAAAATATTATTGAGTATGAATAACAACCGTTCGTTTTATAACAACAAACTTCTTATCTAAATTTGTAAGAAAAATTATGCACAATGACCTTGCTTTACACATTTTTTATGAACTTTGTCCCACTATTATTATTTGATCAATTATAATACATTTGATTATATGATTAAATAAATTCAAAGTCTAAATTCAAATTTAACATGGTATAATATATCAAATTAAATGTTGATGAAATATTAATCACTAAATTATATATCATTTTTTGATTAAATATGTGGTATATAGATAAAAAAATATCGATTCAATTATGATTTAAATTAAGTCTCAATTTCGAACAATCAAATTCTTTTCTTTATAAAAATATATATCATTGGTCACTAATGATATTGTTATTATTTAAAAAATGCAAAATTTAAAATTATAGTTACCTGAAATAAATTTTATATTTTGTTGATTAAACTTTAACTTTTCTTGATATTACTTTAAGCCTAACACGCTTTCTCTAATAGCGTGTAATGCACGCTCCATTGGCAATCCCTATTGGGCCATTATACCGGCTAAGGTTGGCGGGTCTATTTTGACCCGATCACTCAAAAATCTTTCCACAAATTATATTGATCAGGTCATTTGGCTTAAAAAAAACTATTTGTTTTTTTTTCATATTCAAATGTTCCTTTTTATTTGAATAATATTTTTCTTAATTTACAAGAAAAAGTGTTCCTTTTTGTTTAAATAATATTTTTTTCTTAATTTACAAGGAAACTATGGAGAAGGGCTTTCCATGAACTTTACTCTTCCTTTTAATATAAAAAATATTTTCACATATGCTTTAATTCATAAAGTTCTAAATGAAATTAACCTTAGAAATTCATTAGATTAATTTAAATTAATTATTTAGAGTTTGAATTCAAATTAAACGTAAACCGAATATGTGATATCGACACAAATTTTTTATCACTATATCAATGACATAATTAACAGATATAAACCACTTCATTATAAGTATATATAAAATCAAATATTTTTACATGAACTAAATCCAAGAAAGAGCCGAACTATAATGTATAGGCAATGTGGGATGGCATGTCTCGTGACCAAAATTTACAGCTTCAGTGGGTTTGGTAGCATTAGTTTGGCATTTGGTTGGGTGAGAAGACGGCATATCTACCAAAGTTGTGTGCTGCCAAGCCAATGTGTGCCCAAAGATATGAGCCCCTTTTCTTTTTCTTCCAATGTGTTCTCCCTTCTTTATACATTTGCATGTTGCGAGCATTTTACATGTATTTTTATTATAAACGCAATTAAAGATTACGATTCAAATTTATTTTTAAAATTTTAATCTCTTTTTCTTTTTAGACGTGAGATTATTATCCAATTCATTAGTATAGTCGACGAGAAATATAACAGACAAATAATCACTCTAATGCCACTTATCATAAATTTATAATCCTATTTTTATATTTAAACTCCATAGTCTCCATTTCCGACGTGAGATTATTATTTTCCACCCTTTTAAGACGTGACAAAAACTTGAATCATTGTTCTTTATTCATGAGCAGTAAATAAATTAAAAACTTTATAATGTTTGTCAAATTAGGGCTGCAAAGACCCCACTCATACATTTCTCTTATTGGTTTTAGAAATTAAATTGACCCCCGAAAAATCAAGACAAAAAAAATTCTTTCTTTTCTTTTCAAATTAAAAACCCTCTTGATATTTTTGGATAATCATGATTAGTTTCAGTAAACACCATTGAGACTGCCATATTTACCCATACATATAAATAAAAATATCCCTAATTAAGATTTAAGTGGACCCCTTCACAGTTTATTATTTGATTCCATTGTCCACCGACAAATTATAAACTCTAGGATGGTTTGTCATGGTGTTGTAATGTCACCATCCACTTTTTGATATTCATGGTAGAATAATTAATCCTTAAAATGAAAAAAAGTTGGGCACTACAACCCCTTTGACATCCATCAAAACAATGCCTCACAATTTTGGGGAAACTGCTGGTGTACTTGCACAACACCCATTTATAATTTAACTACACATAAAATTACAATATCAACAAAAATATATTCCACGTCAGATCCGAACTGACATTTAATGCTTAAGCAAATTGCTAAACTGACTAAAGAGAATAAAACTATATTAGTGGCTCCTTTAAAGATAATGGAAGTTGTCTAGTTTTCATAAATGTCAAAGATATAAAGTTTTCTAATAGGATTAGAAGCTTTTAATTCTGTGTAACTTTTAGTGTATGATAAGTAATGGAAGACAATGGCATGATGCAAAGTCAGATGGTAAACATCCCCTTTCCCCCACCCACAAAATGCCCACTAAAGCTGAACTAATCCTTAACACTGCAATTAGGCCTAGAAGAAGAAAAAAACAACTTTTAAAGTGGCATTATATCATCATCAGACAATGCTTCACTTTAGCACCAAGAACTAACATTTTTTACTCGTGTTGTCACGACAACTCCGGCTCGGCCATGATTACAGTAACCTGACCCTAGGACGGATATATTTTCAACCGAATTAAAAACCATGGTAAAAGCTCAGACTTTGCTTCAGCTGATGTCACCTATAACCAAACACAGATTCTAGAAATGAATTGAATTCTGAAACAATGGATGGACAAAAAGTAAAATCTATGATTAATACACTGAATTAGCACAGGTATGCTCAACTTTTTCTAACATTTTTCATAGATTTTGAAGAATGTGTTTTCATACTTATGCCCGGCTTTGATCATATGCAAAATAAATTCCCCTTTATTTTCTCTGAATTCCTCAAACCATTGTTAGAGCATGGGAAGAGAGGCACCGACATGTTCTTGGTCTTTAGTTTCTTTCGGTGGGGAAGAAGAGCTTCCCTTATTCAACAACATAAAAGATTAACCCATCAGGCCCTTTTTGTTCGCCTCCCAACTTCGAGAGCCAACTCCGTATCAATTTTGAGGGATATATCGAGTGCTCTCACAGAATGTGTGAGTGCGCCACTGCAAACACCCAAGCAATAAAATCAGCAAGACATAACAAGAATTTTAGTACCAAGTTGGCTAGTTACTTGAGCTAACATTTCCGTAACATGTCAGAAAAATTGCCCAAGTTCCAAATGATTTCCCAGAGAATGAACAGTCCTATTCTATTTGAAATCCACTTACACAGATCTCTAATAGATATAGTTCATTGCACAGGTCAAATGTAGGCAATATCCGTAGGTTTAATAAAGTTCAAATTTGATGTATAATCCCTATATTTTCTAAGAGACGAAAGGATAAAATCATAATGCTTTAAAGAAATTTATCAAACACTGTACATAGGGAAGACATGTTCCCATATGGAGCTAAAGAAAGCAGTGGCATATCCTATCTACTAGCAATAGGTTCCACTAACAATAGTGAGATGCGTGTGTATAATATTATTTTTCTCGGAGCTTTGTATTTAATCTTTATACTAAAATCACTTATTAATACCGTTAGAACTAGCTTTTCTCAGAAGTGAAGAGGGTTATACGAATTTTCTAGGAAAGTTACCTCCATGGTTCAGATAAAGTTTAGCAACTTAGAACTTTTCTCTTTAAAAGCAGATTATACATTAAAAAATGTTGCACTGCCTTACCTGGATATGTAGGTAACTCCAGTTTTTCCGATTTTATGTACGGTTTCAAGAGTAACATTGCCAGATGCCTATCACAATGACAAATATATATCACTTACAAGCCTCAGAAGTCAGAACAGTGCTAAGTAGAACATTAAAATAGAAGTTAGAAGTAAACCTATAATGACATTTGACGGCTAGCAAGATGCAAGAATACCAAGCCAAAGCACCAAAACGGATTACAATTTAGAAACTATTCAAAATTTTAAGTAGCAACTAGCAAGAGCTTTCATACAAATATTCCTAGTTTAATTTGCTCATGTTTCATATATTTGAAGACCAAAACGGCAAGCAAATAGAGTGAACCATTGCGCCACACACCCTTCCATGACCCTCGAATAAAGGAAAAGAAAGAACAAACATACACAAACTAACCCAGTATAGCTGATTTTCTGCAAAGTCCGCAGGCACTAAATGAATGATCTGAAAAAGTACATGATAAAATCATGATTCATGAGATACCTCTGTCCCAAATTTCCCATTGATTAGCTCCACAGCTTCTTTAAGCATAGACACATCAACATCGCCATTTGGAAGAGGAATGACCATATTATCCAACATTATCCGAGTCAAGGAAGTCTTCGTTTGAGATGCATACTGCAATACTTCCTTTACTTCCTCAAGTGTCCGGGTCTCAACCTTGAAATAGACATTGTAAACATATCTGTTACGGTTGCCACAATGCAACAAACTGATTGATTCATTTCCACATTCGCACAAGCGGACAGAGCGAAGAGAACCACTCCAAAGCATTGCAAATTAACTAAACAAATCCACTCAAGCATATTTTTTTGGCAATGATGCGTACTTCTACACAGAATTAAATAAAGTTACAGGTAGGGGTGCTTATCGAGCGAGTCGGGCAGTGCTCGACTCATGCTCGTTAAAAATTTTTGCTGCTCGACTCGTTGCTCATTAAGCTCGTTAAAATTGTGCTCGACTCATGCTCGTTAAAAACATTCGCTGCTCGACTCGACTGATTGCTTGTTAAGCTCGACTCGTTGCTCGTTAAGCTCACTAAAAAATTTACCTTATTTTTTAAACTAAAAATAAAATTTACTAATACCATATGAGGATATTAGGGTTGGGTTTTTTTTTGTATTAAAATAATATTATTAATTAATAATATTTTATTATTTATTTAAAAAATAATAGATAGGTTAACTTATTATTATTTATTATTTATTAATAAATTAATAATTATTATTTAGATTTATTTTTTTGAATGAAATAATTTTGAAGTAATTACTAAAAATATATTTTAAAAAATTAACAAACTGCTCGCAAACTTATCGAGTCGAGTTAGACTTTGCTCGACTCAGCTCGTTAAGGTCTCGAGTCGAGTTCGAGTCAAGCCAACTCGAGTTGAGCGCTTATCGAGTTTTGACTGAGTCGAGTTTGAGCTGCTCAACTCGTTAAGCACCCCTAGTTGCAGGATACATGATATACCATGAGGAAATTTACATATTTGTACTCGACTCTGTTAGCTGGTCTACAGCACAAAACTTTTAATTTGCTATAGTTTTAATATCGGAAGAAATTACCTCAACCTCCATTTGAAGAGTTTCTCGCTTTAGATACTGGTCAACAGATCTAACAGCATTACTGATTCCCCCAGCTATTGATATATGATTATCCTTTATCAACACCATATCAAACAAACCCAGCCTATGATTCTTTCCTCCACCAATTAGTACCTACAAAAAGAAAGGCATAAGAGAAAGAACTAAGAAAAAACTAAGAGTAGGGTCAAGGAAATAATCCACACCGCCCACTTGTCCACCAAACGTAAGCCTGGAGCTGTTTTTCTTGTCTCTAAGATGTATGCAGGATTCGCAGCATCAGCCATTGCCTGCAGGAACACCTTGTGAAGTTATTCCAGTGCTAAGCTTTGCTAGGAGTCTAGTTTTATATAGCTACTGAGCATAAACTCTGTAATTTGCATTCCGTGAGTGAATTCACAGATTAAAATAGATTTGAATTTCATTTCATGCCCCGTTTCTTCATTATATTCATTGTGCATAGATGACTAAATAATGACATGATTTGCATTTTTGATTAGTATGTGAATTAGCCACGTTCTGATCATATGTACAGGTGGCAAAACAAGGCCACAGAATAAGTAACAAAAATTCAAACTTCTACAAGAATATAGAGTATATAACACTAACAATCCAAGCAGTTATATTTTTGTCCGAATGAAACTTATACTCATCACCCATATTGTTTTGCATTTCTGATTCACACCAATCTAAAATGAAACATAAGCATTTACGGTTTTGTTATTGCCATCCCTGTTATCTGCCTTATATTATATAGTAAACTTTTTTTTTTGATAAAACTTATAAACTTCAATTTGCTTGATTACAACAGAGAAACATAGAAAGATTATGAAACTCGTTTGTTCATAAAATTCAAAGAAATGGACGAACCTTAGTTAGTGTAGCTATACCACTCATCCGCTGCATGAAGTTCAGAGCTATTCTTTCAGCTACAACAATGCTGTGTGCTCTTCCTATATGGATAGAGAGTAATTTTAGTACATCCTTCTTACACAAAATTAAGAAAACACCCTTTTCGGATTACCATAAACTTTTCCAAACTGCAGTCCCTTGTGAACATAATCCCCATCCTTTCGAGACCACTCCACCTGATATCATAGTGTACAAAAGGCGAGTGTGTGTGATCCAAAGCACGAAAACCTTAAGGGTGATCCAAAGACGGAAAATACAGTCGTGTACCTTCAAAGAAGGATCAACCTCTTGAAACACCATCTCAGCAAGTGCAATTCCTGCAATGATACCATCCTCCTTTGCCAGAAAATAGGCTTCCACTTCCATGTCAAATGGAATGGTGGCCATACAAGTTACATCCCCTGCACTTGAACCCAAATATCGCATATGATATCAATGCAAGAAAGAAAATCAATAGACTTAGACTTAACTAAATATTTGCTCCATGTACATCAAAATTTTCATCTCATCATTATAAATTCGGGAGAGCAAAGATTATGAAACATTAAAACACCGAAAAAACGGAGACACCAGAACCTCGATTTCCAGCATCTTCAGCTAGGGCAAGGTTAATGATGTCCCTTAAATCATAAGTAGGGTGCGAAGGAGGTTTAATCGCCATGGCTTCCAAAGATAGTCCAACATTTGCAGTTTGAGCAGCAGCCATTCTAACAACACGCCTACAACTCCAGAACAACAAAATCAGGCACCACCAACTGCTAAACAAATAAGCTATTCATAATTCAAACATAAACACAATTTACCTTGAAATCGTGCACCAATTGGGCAAAACTATTGAGGAAAAAGAAAGTATTCCAGACATGAACTCGGTCTGTTAAGCTCTTCTAGTTCAGTGAGCTTTCTGCCTGTTACCTGCTAAGAGATACCTTCCAGTAACAACCCAGAAGCGTCAGAAAACTATATGGGAAATGGAAATTGCTATATGAAACAACCATTAAACATAAGAAATTTCATGTTTCAAAGGCCGCCCAGCAGGGTTTTAGATAATAATATCGACCCATACAGTAATTCGAGCAGAAAATGACAAAGAAATGAACGTGTAAACAAGATAGGTTGATTGATGGTTCGTACCTCTCGCCTAATCGATATATAGAGTAGGCGGGTTCGGGAAGTTGGAGCTCCTTGTGACGAAATGACCCAATTCCCAATTCCCAACTCCCAATTCCCAACTCCCAATTCCCAATTCCCAATTCCCAATTCGCTTCTTCTTAACCCCTTGATGATAATTAATTAATTAAAAAAAACCCTTGGGATAAACAATTAAACACAACAAAAACACCAAAAAGGCTTTGTTTTGATTATATATAGCTTTTTGTATAAAACAAATGTAAACGTTATTTTTTTCGTTAGGGTAAGGTAATCATCAAAATGGTCAATTTCTTTATTTTTATTGTTCTAATTAAAATATATATATTGATCATTATGTTTTAATTTCGAATCATTAATAATTTTGATGATTTATGCAATTGATTTATTATAATTTTTTTCATGTAGTATATTAGGATAATTGCCATTGAGTTTTGTAAAACTCACTGTTCAAACATATTTTCTATATATATGTAGTTAGATTTGAATTTGAGCATCAAAGCAATTTCAGCAGCTCTTATTCTCTGGAAGCATCATATCCTGCTGATAGTTGACGGTTATGGCTTGCTTTGGGTTTTTTCCTATGAGTTGGTGTCCCCGATGCAATTCATTTCGATGGCTGATGGTGCTTTGGTAGAGAATCCTAAGTTCTTGGTTTATCGTCAACAAGATAAACTTCTTGCCTCGTGGCTGTTGTCCACGGTTTTATTTGAAATTCTGCCTCATTTGATTGGTTTCACCACTGCAGCAGAAGTTTGGACTGCTTTGTCTCGTTTGTATGATGCTCATTCGGCGGCTAAGGTATTTGCTCTTCGTCATGCTTTACATTCTCAAAAGAAGTGTGAGTCAACGATTGGAGAATATTTAGCCAAAATCAAAATGATTTGTGATACGTTGTTTGCTGCTGGGACGGTTATTTCTGAACAAGAACACATTAGTATGATTCTTGTTGGCCTTCCTGTTGAATATGAGTATGTGATCGCCGTTGCCTCCAAGGATGATGTTGCTCTTTATGCTCTCACTGAGATGATGTTGGATTGTGAGGCTCGACATAAGACTTTTTTCTCTTATAATCTCTTGATGCAAGCTAACGTTACTGCTCATGAGGATTCTTTGAGGACTTCTGCTGTGAATTCTTCCTCTGAGGACTTGTTTTTCTAGTTTGATGCTTCAGATGTTTACCGTAACAGTGGTTCTCGTGGAACTAATGGCACTAACCGTGACAGAGGGCGTGGCCGTTCTAGTGGGCGCCCTTAATGTCAGCTCTATGATAAGTTCGACCATGTGATGTAGAAGTGTTACTACCACTTTGATCATATGTCTCGTGGGAATGAGTCTTACACTACTTCTGGTTCTCAGCGTGATGGGGGTGGTTCACGTAATGATGGTGGTGCTAAGGGGAGATCCACCTCTGGACATCAGGCTTCTCCTCAGGCTTTGACCCATCAAGCCATTGGTCAAGGTAGGGTAACTGTGGTAGGCGGATATGGGTTAGGTCAGTCGTCTGGGCCTCTTCCTTTGCTCAACCCATTTTCTTTTTTAAAGGTGTTATTTGGTCATTATAATTATGGGATATATCCCACTTCTCATACGGGGCCTCTTCTTTTTCCTACTTCTTGTGTAGCGTCTGTGTTTTCCTTAGATAATGGATTGGCAGGTTTTAATGTGTCGTTTAATGCCTCGGTTACTTCAACGGTCTTCTCTTTTTCTGGATTCTTTTATCACCCATCGGTTGCATCGTTTGTCCCACCTGTGTCTCTCTCTCATTCTGTCATTTTTTCCTCACCCTCTCAGTTTCCTCAAGGGTTGTTTATTGCTTCTGTCCCTTCGAACTTACATATTGCTAAGAGTTCGGATCTGTGCTGGTATCCTGAGTCTGGTGCTACTTGACACATCACTAATGACAAGCGTGTTTTGCGATCAGAAAATCCATACACAGGTAACAACTCTCTCCTTATGGGTAACGGTGAGGAAGTTTCCATCTCTCATATTGGTCATGGTGTTTTGCATGTGGGTTCTAAGGTTTTACAGTTAGAAAATTTATTGTTTGTTCATTCCATTAAGAAAAATCTTCTTTCGGTTTCGCAATTAACGCGTGATAATAATATGTTTTTTAGTTTCATCATTCTGAGTGTTTTGTGAAGGACTCCCGGACTCGAGCAATTCTTCTCTGAGGGAAGCGTACTTCTGATGGGTTGTATAGTTTTCAGGTTTATGCTACAGATTTTTTACTTGGAGGGCGGTGTATTGAAAGTAATACCATTTCCTATACGTTGGAGTCATTATTTTGTGGCATCAGAGGCTAGGACATCATGCCCTTAGTACTCTTAAGTTGACACTTAACTCATGTAATATCTCAGTTTATGGTAATAAGATGCATGTTGTTTTGTTCACCTTGTTTGAAGGGAAAGTCACATAAGCTTCATTTTTCTCCTTCGGTAACACAATATACTTCTATGTTTTAACTTGTTGTTTTTGATGTTTGGGGTCTTACACCCGTTGCTTCTGATGGTTATTGTTATTATACGTCATTTGTTAATGTTTACAGTAGACATACCTGGCTTTATCTTCTAAAACGTAAGTCTGAAGTCTCAGTGTTTTGTTAATTTCTATAGACTTGTTGAAGTGCAGTTTGGTTGCAAAGTTCAGTCTGTTCAGACTGATGGTGGTGGTGAGTTTTATGCATTGGAGGGTTGGTTGGCCTCTCGTGGTGTTCAACATCCTGTCTTATGTCCGCATACCTCTGAGCAGAATGGTAAGGCTGAACGTAAGCATCATCATATTGTTGAGATGAGATTGACGCTGTTGTCTCAGGCTTCCTTGTCCATTAAAATTTGGAGCTATGCCTTTATTATTGTTATATTTCTTATTAATCGTTTGCCTACTGATGTGCTTGTTCTAAAATCTTTCCATGAGGTTCTGTATGATGCCAAACCTGATTATTCTTTTCTTAAGGTGTTTGGTTTGCTTGTTGTCCTCACTTACGGCCTTTTAATAAGCATAAGCTGGATTTTCTGTCACGACAGTGTGTTTCTTGGCTATAATGTCTCTCATAAAGGGTACAAGTGCCTTGATGAGAGTGGTAGGATTTTCATCTACAGACATGTTGTTTTTGATAGTTTGTTTTTCCAAGTGCAGGGAACTTTCGTTCTATTAAGGCGCTTGGTGAAGGTACCTCTGTTGTGGTTCCTTTAAGTCTGGTCTCTATTCTTTCTTCTGTATCAGATCAGGGTGTTCTGAGTCCTCTGTTTGTGTCTTTTGACACTTTTCCTGATTATTTACATGATCAGTCTGAGGAGCTGTCTGTTTTGATGTTAAGGTAGTGTGTTGATGATATTTGTTGTACAGGTGTTGTAACAAAAGGTGTTGATGGTTTATCTGTTGAGTGTGACCCTGTTTCTATTGCTCAACCCTCTGATTTTGTTTGTGATCAACGAGATGTTGTTATTGATGGCACCGAGGTTTGTTGTCCAGTTGATGGTTTTTCTGGTGTTGCTTCTAATATTCCTGATTATGTGTCCAATAGGCATGCTATTGTGACTCGGAGTAAGAGTGGTATTCGGAAGCCAAAAGTGTTTGTTGCAACCACAAAGGTTGATGAACTTCATGAGCCTCGCAATATTGCAGAGGTTGTTCAATGTCCGATATGGCAAGCAACTGCTTAGGCTGAGTATAATGCTCTCCTCCGAAATAATACTTGGACGCTTACCTTCTAATTGGAAAGCTATTGGGTGCAAGTGGATTTTCAAATTGAAGAAGAATTCGGATGGGATGGTTGCACGACATAAAGCTCGCCTGGTGGCTAAGGGTTTTTTTCAACAATTTGGGTATGATTATCATGAGACGTTTAGTCTGGTGGTTAAGTCAACCACATTTCGTACAATTTTATCCTTAGCTGTGACAAGGAAGTGCGACTTACGCCAAATTGACATTAATAATGTTTTTTTGAATGGTGATTTCACCGAGGAAGTGTATATGACCCAACCTCCTAGTTATGAGAAAGGTAATCCTGATATTGTTGTTTGTAAATTGAATAAGGCAATTTATGGTCTTAAACAGGCACCTCGAGCTTGGTTTGAGAAGTTACGTGATTATTTGCTAACTAAGAGGTCCGTTTTGTCTAAGTCAAATACTTTGTTATTTCTCAGAAAGACTGGTGATCGGTTGATGTATCTTTTGATTTACATAGATGATATTATTGTTAATGGCAGTGGTTTTGATGAATTGAAATATGTTATTATTGGTCTTAACATAGTGTTCTTTGAAAGATCTTGGACGTTTGGAGTATTTTTTGGGAATTCAGGTTACTTATTCGTCTACGAGTGTATTTCTTTCTCAATATAAGTATGTTAAGGAGTTGCTTTGTAAGTTTGGTCTTGACAAAGCCAAAGCTCTTCCGACCCCGATTATTGCTAATTGTAAGCTATCAATGTATGGTGGTTGTCGTAACCGATTTTTGTCCGGACACGAATTTTTACTTGGCGGGAAAAATAATTTGAATAAATAAATAATTTTTATATAAAAAAAATATTTTGGGAGTCGCCATTGACCTTTTTAGGTTAGGTAGGTCAAATACCTAAAAACAATATTTTAAAATAGTTTTGAATAAAACATAATTTAAAAGATAAAACTGATCTGCGTATAACTAAAATTTTATTAAAAAAGAGATTCGTGGTCGATTACGTTTGGGGAAGGATTAACACCCCCGCAACGCCTAAAATTGGTACTCATTAATTATAAATTGTGTCTATTATTGGAAATTCAAAAATATATTTAATTCATAATCCTGTTATTTCAAATTCATTAATATAATTTTAAGAAAATATATATATATATATATATATATATATATATTTATTTATTTAAAATATTTATTTACTTAGAAATATCAGAAAAGGGCTTCTAGGTGCTTTAAGACAGCTAAACATTTATATAAAAATAATTAATTAAAAAAAATAGATTATTATATA